AGCCTGGTTTGGTAAGTTCTAGAATGGATTTAGAGACAGAAGAAGGGCTTTACATGTGATGATGGATTCACTGCTACTCATCATCTCATTCTGGTTGAGAGACAGTTGCATGATGGTGAGGAACAAGCATGCGACTAAAGTTCTCAGACTTGCAGCTGATCCACTAGATTGACTCAGACAAGTCATTTAACATCTTACTCAGATTTCTCATGCCTAGAGTAGGATTAATAATTCAAAAATGTAACTAAGAATGGCTCAGACAATGCTTCTGTGCCTGCAGCAGCTGAGCAGTAGTATTGCTCGAGTTATCAGATGCCAGCGTTTTGCTCCTTACACAGAGACTTGTTTCGAATGCAGAAAGAAAATACCCAGTTTGCAAGCATAAACTAATCTGATGTCATCATTCTTTCAACAAACTAAATATCATATCACTCTTGCAGTTAGAAGTTTTATGAATTTCCCCCCAAGTTTAAATAACAGGCATGGAGGCACTGGTCTGGATTAGGACCAATGAGGATTGGGATTTTTGTCCTTTGTTGTGGTCCCAATTAGAATCCCCCTCAATTATGTTTCTGTTTGGAAATTCAGACAGACTTATTAGCTAAATGAGGTGTTCCCAGATTAAGGTGAAATGAGGAGATTATTTCTTCTCAATGGGATATGGAACATTTCATCTAGTTTGCTTCCTGATATTTGCTTCTAGCCAGAAGGTGAATGCAAAGCAGAGTGGAGGGTGAGTTCTGGCACCAAAGTGACTAGGAGGAAAGGAGGAAGTAAATACATAAACGTCCTCTGGAGCTTCTTTGCAAATTGCAGCAACATAATAATTAAGACTTGCAAAATGTAGTAATATGCTGCTCTGTTAGCTAAAGTGGAAATCTGCTCTTGCCTGGAGAATTTGCACCCGCATCTTCTGCTTGGGGGTGACCCAGGTTACATGCTCTCAACCTCAGGGGAAAGCAATGGCAAACCTCCTCTGAACAATTCTTGCCAGGAAAACCCTATGAAAGGTTCACTTACGGTTGCCACAAGTTGGAAATGGCATGAAGGCACACAACAACAACAACAACAACAACAACAACGTCTTATTATTACTATATTATGTCTGATTATTAGTTTAACTTGAAGAATCAAGAGGCCTCTCCATAACAATCTTATATATCCACATGGTTTCCCTGAGAATACAATAAAAGGCTTGTCTTCATCCCTCACTACACTGCAACAACTGTGTAGTGTGAATGGTTCTTGGTGGAGAGAAGAGCTATTAACACTGGGATTAAAGGGTGAACTGAATATCATGGAAAAAGGAATGTCTGGCTCTCTGGTTCCTGAACTGGTCCATTCTATACTGCACCTTTGTACTGTAGGTCCCATCTATGCTTCCAATAATCCTAGGGTATCTCCCTACCCCTCTTTCTGAAAGCCAGCATGCTGTAGGAGTATGAGTGCTGACCTAGAAAAGTGGGATATCATTGTGACCAAAAACAAAACAATACTGGCATGTCAAGTGAACTATCAGGTACTGAATCCCAATGATCAAATCCTGACTTGTCAGTTTTCACTGGATGTCAAATGCCAATGCTGAACAAAAATATTCAGTAGTAAAAGAGGGAGGCTTAGAAGATAGGGATTTAGAGATCAGTTCTACAATAAAGCGACATGGCTAGATGTTTTTTTAGGATGTAGTATGTCTCATTGTAATTTGGAAGATCACTCCCCAAATTTGGGTCCTGGCACCTTAGTCACAGCTATTTCATTAAATTCATTAAATTCTTTAGTCCTGTCTAAACCACAGGGACCTGATTTTTTAGTACACACTAACAGCGCAAAACTAAATGTGCCTGCTCAGAAGTGAGTTTCAAAGAACTTGCTCTGTAGTAAATTTGCTCAGGATTTCAACTTAATATGTAAGTAAGAGCCAAAATAGAGTGTTAAAACAAAGTAACCGAATAGGATAAGCTCTGAAACCTCATGGATCTCCAAAATATCCAGTGCCGGCAATGACTCAGGATGAAACCAGACATACATCAGGGAGGTCACTCCTTTGTCACTTTGCACACATACACATACACCAATTACAAATTGCCCAAGTTTCAGGAAGGAATTGAGTTAATTACATAGATGAAGAACAGAGATGTCCTTGGGTTGAAACATATCAGAGTTTGGAAAAGTCACTTTTTTTTTTGGATGACAATTCCCATAGTCCCTCAGTGAAACCACTTGTGTAAAAGAGGAGAGAATGAAAAATATGCATGAAATTACCCAAAAGCTCCAGTCACTACTCCAGTTATATGAAGGAGGTGATGGCATCTTCTCTGTGCATACATTAAGATGCTCCTCAGAGTCCGCCAGTAACTGGCCGATGAAGCCATGATCCACTTCGTGAAGGGCCTGTAAACAAGGAGTAAAAGATCAAGTAGCTTAACAATGATGTCGTGTGTTCTTGGCTGTGGCTTGCAAGTACTTTGCAGCATTTCTAGTTAAACCTCTAAGGCCCTGGATAAGCCATGAGGAACAAGGAAGGAACATTTCCAATCTCCTTTTATTTTAATTAGGTTCATAGCCATTTCAGACTCTTTCCCATGATCAGTCCATTGCATAACATGTGCACACTTTGTTCTTCCGTTTGCTGTGTACTCTCCTTCCATCTCCTGTTAAAAGTCCGGATAATTTGACCAGAGGCCCTTTCATACTAGACAAACGTAGCACTATGATCCTACTTTAATGGCCAAGGCAATCTCCTATGGCAGGCCTGCGCAACTTGGCTGTAGGTAAGGGCCAAAATTAAAATAGGCTAAACTTATTAGGGCCACAGATGGGTCTTAATTAAATTAGAATTAATTAATATTAATTCCATCCTCCTCTTCCTCTGCCTGGCCCTCTCCTCAGGAGAAAGCCAGGCAGCGGAGGACCCTTGAAGTCATGCCATATCCTTGTAGGCTGCCTGAAATCCTTTGGCAGGCCGCATGCAGCCCCCCGGGCCATATGTTGTGCAGGCCTATCCTACAGATTCCTGGGACTGGTAGTTTGGTGACACACTAGAACTTACCAGTAGTGGATTTTAAATATTCCTCCTGAAACTGCACATCCCCAAACTCCATAGGATGTTGCATATGGCAGTTAAAGTAGAATAAGGTCCAAAACACACTGCAGAAATAATCCAGTTTGAGACTGCTTTAACTGCCCTGGCTCAATGCTAGAGAATCCTTGGAATTGTGGTTTACTGAGGTGCCAGAGGTCTCTGATAAAGGCTAAATGTCTTACAAAACTATAGTTCCCAGAATTCTCTAGTTTCTAGATTGTTTCTGCAGTGTGTTTTGGACCTAAGAGCGCCATTAATTGAGTAATGTGAAAGGTCTCCAGGACTATAGTAATACTACATCCATGGGAAAACAACACTTCTTCAAACCCATTGATAGCATGTCCATTGTTACAAATGTTGTACAACTGTCCAAGAGTTGGGCCTATATTGCATATTGCTTATGTCTGAATGTTAGCCAATACATACTACAGCACTTCAAGAATGAAGCAAAAGAGCTTTAGAGGGACATTATTGAAAAAGTTCTGTGGCAAAGAATACTGGGATTTTTATTCTTTTGCAGGAGATGAGAGAGAAAGCATCCAGTTGAGGCGACCCCAGGAGTAAGAGCTCTAAACATAAATGGCAGCTCTATATCCCATGGAATCCAAGTGGAGAAGGCTCAGCCATTGTATTACTATACTAAACAAAAATGGCCTATTGTTGTTTGTTTTGATGTGCCTCCAAATCATTTTTGACTTATAGCAACCCTAAGGCAGCGCAGCGGAGGACAGGGAGTCTTGGAGATGTCTCATCCACAGGGCCGCC